AAGTAGGGTGTTCCATTAAAAAAATTCAAGATGACTTTGACTTCACCTTAACGACGCCAGCTAGGATCAAACTGATGAGACTATTGAATAGATCTTTTTAAATCCTACAACTTTTATTTGAAACATGTTTCTGTAAAACTTATATTTTTTGAGATTTTTCAGGGTTTCCATACTTTTTCCTCACCCTGTATAAGCATTCAATGTTTACATTTTTTTTACGAGTATTTTACGAATATTTTACGAGATATTTTATATTCTATGTCAAAGTGCTGGAAATTTCAAGTGTTATTACTCGAAAAGTTCTTAATGGAAAAATATTTTATTATTGTTTTGGAAAACTCTCGAGATAAGCTATAAGAATATGCAATATAAAAATAAAGAATATGCAATAAAAAATAGGGTGTTCCATTTAAAAAATTCAAAGTGACTTTGACTTCACCTTAACGACGTCAGGGTTAAACTGATGAGACTATTGAATAGATCTTTTTAAATCCTATAACTTTTATTTGAAACATTTTTCTGTAAAACTTATATTTTTTGAGATTTTTCAGGGTTTCCATACTTTTTCCTCACCCTGTATAATATGTCGACAAGAAGCAGCATAAAATCGAACATGGAATAACGTCACATCATGTGAGCAGGAAGTCATTAAAAATGAAGTTAACTAGATGGCATTCTGAGAAGGCAGAAACGCAGCAAAAATCGATCATGACGTGCTATTCGAACGTGACAGTAGAAACACAACAGAAATCGATCACGACGTGCCGTTCGAACGTAACAGCAGAAACGCAACAGAAATTGATCATGATGTGCGTCCGAAAGCAAAGGTAAATACGAAACAGAAATGCAGTACAAAATTTATAATATATATGCTATATTATAATATAATATTAAATAAATTAGATAATAAAATTATGATAAAATTGTACAGTATATAAAATGATTTGTATGACATTTATATATACATAATAAATTTTCCAAAACAACTCAGCAAACACAAAATAACATTAACATAATTGTGCGTTATAATTTCCCTCTCAACCATGTAACTGTTTACACCGTCGAGTGGACAATTAGAACTAACAGTTTTATTATTATTACTTTGCCAGGAATTTATTCAACAAATTTATTGTATATCTTTGTAGTACCTTCCTTAAATTCATTAATTAATAATTAAGTCAGTCGTTGAGGGAATACTGCAAAAAAATATAAATTTTGTATTGCATCCTGATGGAAAAAATTTGTTGAAAATGCAAT